CATCTATGTACAGGCGCATTTCCTTACCAGCTAATACTTTCATTACGCTCGACATTATTGGTTGTAATGCGACTGGCCTGTAACACTCCTTAATATATCCTCCTTTAATGTTTGGCTAGAGAGCAGCTTGTTTCTAATCAGCTGGGAGTCGCTGTAACTCCAGCGAATTCCCGAACAGGTCACATATCTGTGAACTGAGGGCTTCTGCATACTATTTCAAGGCTATAGAGCGAATACTGTTACATCCTGATGACTTTCTTGGTCACAGAGATTTTATTTTTCACAGCATTAGGTCAGGAGTAAGTCGGATATTCCCTTGATATTCTGCTGGCACTAGTTTTGAGTAGTGCACTGAACGTGTAGTTACTTTTGTCTGAGTGGTTAGTGAAATTAGTGTTAGCTATCTCTAGGCTGGTAAAATGTTTGATGTCTGGACCTTTAAGGACACAAACACCCTGATTTGTAGGTTTTCGTGTAGTAATGAACCAAAAGCCATATTTCGGAGTCGCTTATTTGTTGACTATCATTTCCATCTGGACATGTCTCGTGTCACTTTCAATCAGTGATTAAATGAATTAGTCACTGATTGAAAGTGACACGAGACACGTCCAGATGGAGATGATAGTCAACATATAAGCGACTCCGAAATATGGCCTTCGGTTCATTACTACACGAAAACCTACAAATCAGGGTGTTTGTGTCCTTAAAGGTCCAGACGTCAAACATTTTACCAGCCTTGAGATAGCTAACACTAACTTCACTAACCACTTAGACAAAAATAACTACACGTTCAGTGCAGAATGTCAAGGGAATATCCGACTTACTCCTGACTTAATGCTATGAAAAATAAAATCTCTGTGACCAAGAAAGTCATCAGGATGTAACAGTATTCGCTCTATAGTCTTGAAAGAGTATGCAGAAGCCCTCAGTTCACCGATATGTGACCTGTCCGAGAATTCGCTGGAGTTACAGCAACTCCCAGATGAGTAGAAACAAGCTACTCTCTAGGCAAACATCAAAGGAGGATATATTAAGGATCTAGAGTGTTACAGGCCAGTCGCATTACAACCAATAATGTCGAGGGTGATGAAAGTATTAGCTAGTAAGGAAATGGGCCTGTACATAGAGAAGAACATTATCATCAATGTAACCCGACACAGGCTTATGAAGGGCAGGTCGCGCGTATCCATATCTACAAATAACGCAAGATAGCTAACCGACCTGCAAAAATTAAAACGTTACCTGATTATGAGAAATTCCCTTACTCTATTAGAGCCTTTGACACTGTACTCCGAGTACTCCTATTGGCGATAGTTGTGAATATAAGCCCTACCGATCTTATTCTGTCTTCATCCAAAAGATACCTACAGAACAGAATGTTACATTACAATGTTAATTAAATGCGTTCGAACTTGCAAGTCTCAGCGGCACTAATCTACTCAGACGACGTAAGGATCTAGAGGTCGATGAGAAGCAAAGAAGATTGAAATGGGCTTCAAAATGACCTTACAAGAATAGATGAATGCGCAGTGGACAACGGGTTAAAAGTTAATCAGTCTTGATGTCACGTCATGAACATTCTGCCTCACCTGACAAAAACGACTTACAGCTTCAACGGAATTCGACTCCCAAATATCTCGTCCTTCTCTCAGCTTTATTAACCACAGACAGCTTGGACACAAATTCAAACTACATGTTTGATGCAACCAAGGCAAATGCAACTCTTGACTTCATGAAAGTGAGAATTTGTGCAGTCACACATGAACTGTTATTAGTCCTCTTCATAACTTGCAAACCGTTGCCTTGAAATTTTCAATGTTTCCAGACGCCCTCTCTTTAAAAGAGATGTAAATCTCCTGAACCGAGTGCGGGGACGAATGACTAAATGGGTGACAGTGTTAAAGAATGAATCCTAAAAAACTAGAATCCGACACCTAGGGCTATTCCCACTGAGTTGTAAGATAATTAGAGATGTTTTAATGTTTCTTGTCTTACAACATATTAAGTACGCCAAATCACTCTAAAACAACCATCCTACCAACTCATCGCCACCACGCCCGTCGAGGTAACCATCGATCAGCTGCACACTGAAGAGCGAGTGATCAAGTACGCTGAAACATTTCCTCATCAAGAGTTATCTCCACCTGGAAAGTTCTCACAGTCAAAGTGACGATTGCTCCCTCACTGCATAGTTTCAATAAGAGATTTGACATACAAATCCACATACGAATTATCATATCCCGTTTGAACCACACATGCCAGATGCATTTATCGAAATTTTTTCTGTCGTTATTGTTATCAAATATCACAAATATTTCACTCTTATTAATAATTACCTTTGTTCACTCTTTCATCCTTAAGATTCAGGCCATCTGCTCTACCTAGTGATTAACTAGCATTTCCCACTTAGTTTCGGAAACTTTGGTCTTCTATTCCTCGTCGGCATTGGATTTGATGTTTTTTGTCAACTTCGCAACCACCTGATATCTAGCCCTATGTTTTGATAGCTGCTGGTATTCAGAAACCATACTGCACTGAGATCAAATCACTGAACATACTAATAGATAACTTTCTAATTACCAGACTTAGTGCATTCAAGTTGCAAGATTTCCATCTGTTGTACACTACTAAATACATGAAACCGTACCGAAACAACAGGAAGAGAGTGCAAAGAAAGCAATCGGTTTATACAAGTTCGTCCTACAGGTATTGGATTTTGAACGTACAAACAAACTTTTTTGAATCATGACTACATGATGACAATTGATAGTGTCTGTAATCCAGGTGAAGTTAAGGTCTCTGGCATTGGAGAAATAACCTCAGAGCCTGACTGTTGCAAAGTAGAGATTTTAGTGTGCTCTAAAAAAACTACATGCACTGCGGCTGAAGAGAGCGCGAGAAAGAGAGCAGAATACGCTAGACAAGAAATTTATAACCGTCTTAAAGTAATGTCTTCAATTAATTTTTCATTATAACTTACTCTAGAAGGTAAATGTCGTTGAGCACTTTGATGTGGTCACGGGAGACAGTGGTGTGAACGCTGTGTACAAGTTTGAGATAACGACATGTGAAATATCTGGAATAAAAAGTCTTTTAGGATATCTTAAGGCCAAGTTACCGGCATATATAAAACTGGGAAGTGTTGAATACTTTTACACAAAGAAAAAAATGTTCGAGTTGCGGTAACTTGACATTTTTTGTGTAATACTACATATGTATAGATCACATGTGATCTTTAATTTAAGTGTGATTTTATTCATGTTAAATGCTTATCATGAGTATGTTATATTTTAATTGATTAAGTGATGATTCTACTCTAACCCTTAAAATATATTGGTTGAATGCATATAGACTAGTTTGGTTATTTAGTTATCTAACTTTGCTATGGGTACCTAACAAGTGATTTAATGAACACCTTATCCTTTATTATGAAAATAATGTAAACTTAACAATATTCAGGATAGTCTTACGTTAGAAAACAGTTTTTCAATTGTACTCGCGTGCAAACAGCATTTTTAGAAGACGGTATAAAAGATGAAATATAAGTGCACGCCAAATTCACAAACGTATATTCGTTTCGGAACTACTAGTGTTTGATGAATATTATTCAGTCTCAGTGGAAACGACAAGAGGCTAAATGGCCTGAGATAGTCCTGGCAATAGTGGTCTCCCAGTTGATCCAATTTATTCTTGAATGTGTCAACAGATGGAGCTTCAGTTACCTGTTGAGTTACTGAGTTTATTTCGTCGACAACTTGGTAGGAAAGTTGATAGTAAGCTGACAAGCAACTTGTACTTGGGATGTTAACTGTTTTAGTGTCCTCGTAAATCCTCTTATATGAAAGAAAAAAATGAGGGCATGTCGTATGTAAACTTAAGTGATCACTGAAATGAACTTTGGTGATCCAGTTATGAATTACCATGACATTTTAAGTAGCACGTATTTGTTTCACAACAACAACTGCATGTATTATCAAAGTACTAAATTCAGAAACAAAGCACTCCAGAAATAGTTATGTTTACCTACTGTTCGATCGAAACTCTCTTTGATTTTGGTAGTGTAGCACTAGTATTATTCATAACTGACAGAAAAAAACCAAGATCCATACAAAAAGATAAGGGTAGAAGAAAGCATAAACTCATGTGAACAAATTGTATTGAGGTATAAATGAAGTGGACAACTGCGTAAAAACCATTTATTAGCATAAAAAATGTCACAACAAGATTGCTTTTGGCTACAAAAAAGGAAATATTAAAATCATTCTATCACTTGATCTACAGAGTCCAAAGTAGATTTTTATGAATCGCTCTAAGTTTCTAAGTCTTTATTGAAAATATGTGCCATCAAATTAGGTTCTTGAAGATGGTTTGTTTTACAGACTTAGGCTTTATGTAGAATATCTGAAAACTATGGAGTCTAGGGTTCTGAACATATTGGTACAGTGTTACCAATATTCTACTGACTATTGAACTATAGATTCATGTTTAAAAGCAACGACATTTGTTCAGTGATACCGGATCCAATGGCTCATACCTTTTAACTCCAGACGGTTAAATACTTTTCTCAGTCTCGATTGAGGTAAGCCCTTACAAATCTATCTCAAGTCCGGTCATCAGTGAGGGAAGGATTTGTATTGTCTTAAGCGGTTTGTCAGACGGCTTTTTGTGCCGTAAAATTTGACACAAGCAATAAACGAAATCATGAGTTTTAAGTATAGATTTGCACAAACCTTCATCTATGGATACTATGCATAAATTTAACATCAGGATTTACGGTGGCAAGTTTAGGAAAAGCTCTTCAGAAATTTGTATGCGAATTGATTCTTGTTGTAAAATAGTCTCATTATCAACAAGTTTACTATATTTTGAAATTACTTTTAGGAAAGAAGCTATTGCACAAGCCGTTTCAGATGCTAAACATAAAGCTGAACTAATAGCATCAGCATTTGGACAAAGAATTCAAGGTTTGATTAATGTTATTGAGAATGAATGTGATTCTAATGATGAAAAGCTTCAAATAACTACACCAAGATCAAATAGCTTCAATAATCACTGCCAACAAAAGCAGTTGACCAATAACAACAATAGCAATAATAATGGAGCTATTATAAATATCGGTCAGTCATGTGAGCAAACATTCGATTGGAATGAGTCACTGCGTAATGCTCAAAGGCATATACGTATCAAATTACATGTTATCTGTGCTTTAAGCAATTTTAATAACTGAAAAGATTCACAGATCTGATACTTCCTAAATAGACATTCATGTATTATTTATGCTTTAGGATTTTACAACAATTACTTTATCATCATTTGAGTCTCAGATTTATCTTAATGTGAAAATATCTATCCCATGTTTGATAATTTATTCCGAATAATCAATTTGTCAATGTAATTTACCTTCATGTTGTTTTTATTTAAATTTATGTGTTTAAAGAATTATGACATAGTAACGCATTCATATTTACACTAGCTATTTTCTACAACAAACTTACTAACCAGTTACTTACGCCTGTTACCCCCAATGGAGCATAGGCCTGGGCTTCCCTCTCCAGTTCTGTCCAATGTTTGTTCATTCCTCGCATGTCCTTCTCTGTTTCTCGGCATAATGTGTTCCTTGGCCTTCCTCTTTTCCTTTCACCTTGAGGGTTCCATGTGAGGGCTTGTCTCGTGATGTAGTTAGGTGCTTTTCGTAGTGTGTGTCCTATCCACTTCCACCGCTTCTTCCTGATTTCCTCCTCCACTGGAATCTGGTTTGTTCTCTCCCACAGTACGTTGTTGCTCATGGTGTCTGGCCAACGAATCCGAAGTATTTTGCGTAGACAACTGTTAATAAACACTTGTATCTTCTGGATGATGCCTTTCGTAGTTCTCCAGGTTTCCGCTCCATACAGTATAACTATCTTGAAATTTGTATTGAAAATGCTGATTTTGGTTTTGGTTGAAAGTTGTTTGGAGTTCCGGATATTTTTCAACTGTAGAAAGCAGCCCTTGCTTTGCCGATCCGGGCCCTCACATCTCCATCGGATCCACCTTTCTCGTCCATGATGCTGCCCAGATATGTAAAGGTGTTAACGTCCTCCAAGGCATCTCCATCAAGATTCTACAACAAACGTGTACTGCAAATTCTCATTAATATAGGAACAAATGGATTCTTTTCAACCTTCTATTTTAGCAACATATTGATGGTCTGCAGTTATTTTTCATTGAAGATTGAAGTAAAGTAAGAGACCACTAAGAATGTTGTAAAGTTTACAGTGGTATTGACTTCTAGTCTTATTGAAATAAGTTGGGAAAATTGAGACCACTGAGTTCTTGTTTTGTTTTTGCCAATAAAAATTAGTATTTTTGCAACTCGGCTTGGTATTATAAATGTATCTTAGGGTATCCCGCCATATATTGATTTATATCTTCAAACTATAATGATAAAGAAATTGTTCAGTGTCTCTCACACATTCTCCAGTTAATGATAGTTCACAAATATATGGAAAATGAAGTACGGTACCAGATGTTTCACATTTCTGAATTAATATTTCTTCGAATTGCATAAACATTCAATTTTTCCGAAATTCCTTCTAACAATTATCATTTGTAAATACTAGATTAAAATAATTTGAAGTATTATCTATCCAGCATGTTTAGGCATACGTAATACATATCCCAACCACCTTAGTTGATGAAGACTCACAACTTCGTCAACTGACTCACCATCCTTACCTAGTACTTTTTTTCCCAAACCAGTCATGTAAGTCGCAAAATACGGGAGCAATGCTTCGAAGACACCTATGATCGAATACTAGTAACCTACAAACATCCTCCTTTCCTAAAGGCCACGTTTCACACCCAAACTGCTACACAGCAGACTCATTCTTTAATTGAAAGATACATCTCACCGACACCACAAGTGATGCAAGTTGGCGAAAGCCGATTGGGTCCTCTGTATCCGTACTGAGGTTTCGTCAGATACCAAACCATCAGGATAGATGAGAATCCCAAGATGAGTTAAGCGGTCGACATACTCAAATACTTGTCCACATCACTAATTCAGGAGCCGATGCGAGCCAATCGCGAAGCAACATTCGGAGGAAAAGAATCCCAACCCACACATGCTAGCATTGTTGCTTGAGATGGTCAGAAAACGCTGCGTTTCGTCAGCGCCCTTACTAAACAGGACTATGCCATTTGCGAATTCTGAGTAAACAAATGAATCTCCTGCTAATTCAACCCCTGAGAAGTCAAACGACATAAGTAACAGTCCTGGGAGCATGTCTATGATAAACTTAAACGTAAGCAGACAATTGTGACGAATACCACTTGACGTAGTCAAGTCCGACGACAGCAGCGTCCGAACAGAGACCCTGTTCAAGGTTAATGCACTTTTTCGGTGAACCTTTCAATGAAAGAAACTCCTACAGAATCTCACGATCAATAGAGTCGAACGCCATTCTAAGGTCAAATAATATAACTATTGTGCGACATCGGAAAGGACCTGACAAAGTGGGAATATTTGGTCTTTCCATCCACGTCCAGGTCTGAAACCAGTATGGTTATCTCCAGTCTGCACTTCACGACTTCTAGTTAGGCGTCTAAGTATAATAGAGGCTATAAATTTAGAAACTATGTTAGTCAAACTGATCCCTCTGTGATTGCCACAAGAGGACTTTTGTCCTTTCTTATAGACTGGGACAATCAGTGATTAGAACCAGTCAGATGGGATTACGTCCAGTTCCCAGATTCTACCTAAGATCTCAGTCAACCTAGCTGCTAAGACTGGACCACCATCCTTAAAAATCTCAGGAGTTAGCGTATCAGGACCTGTTGCTCTACCTCCCGTTAGATTTCCTATAGCTTTCTCAACTTCATAAAGACTAGGAGGACTAATATTGACTTGTTATTCAGAATGACTGGAGGTCGTGGGCAACGGAATTGTGGCTGGAGGCCACTTGAACTGATCCCTAAAGTGTTCTGCCCATCGGTCCAGTCTCCTGGATTCAGAATGGATAATAAGACCATCCTTTTCTGCGATAGTTTCGCTAACAGATGGACTTCTAATACCGGTTCCCTTGATAAGTCTGAATAACTGTCTACTGTTATCTATCGCCGCTGCCTTTTCAGTCTCTCTAACTTTCGTTAACCACCACTATTCTCGATCATTGTGTAGGCTTTTTATCAGCCTGCGCTTAAGCTGACTCCGCTCTTTGTCGTGTTGAGAGCCAGATGGGATGAGTTTTCTAGCATCTGTCAGTTCGTTAGATACTACTGAGTCCCAAGGCTTCTCCCTAACTTTATGGTTTACCTTACTAGCAAATATCACTGCTGTTTTCACAGCTTTTTGGATATCATTCCCAGCTGCTTCGGGCTGGAAATCACTGACATGGCCACGTAACTGTTTTTGTAGTTGCTCTTGAAATATGTCACTAAGTAAAACACCAAGAGGCTTACTTGCAGTGTCTTTCTTACGTCCAGGAAGACGCAGACACGTATGTTCTCGTACTAGGGCATGGTCTGTATCTAAACATGCTCTCCAGAACGGGCAGCAGTCTTCTATTGAGACTCTTCATTGGTGGCTGGTAGTTGGGTCCAGGCGTTGGGATGACGTCGGGGGGTCTCCATGCAAAAAGGTGTTTTTCCTTATGCTTCAAGTAAGTACTTGCTAGAAATAGGTGATTGTCTAAGCATAGTTGCAGCAGACGGTCGCCATTATCTGTTCCTTCAGTCACGACACCACAAGTTCCACCCAGGTATTTTTCCCGTTCACTTAGTCTACCTACTTGAGCATTCAAGTAACCAACAATTCTTACTAGATCAGAATGCCTAACCTTTCGAAAGAGATCCGATAACTTCCTGTAAAACTGATCTTTTACCACATCTGAGCTGCTGTCAGTGGGAGCGTAGGCAGAAACAACGACAAGGCAGTGGCGAGTCTACCTATCTTTACGAGTTCTAAGTCTAAGAGAAATAATTAAGATGCAGAGAAATAAGTGCTATTAATAGAGAATCTGAGCCTAATTATATGCTGTAGAATAAAAGGCTGTCTTCTATCGAGCCTCTCTAACGACGGCTAATGGTTAGGATAGAACGTGAAACCTGAACATTAAAGATCGAGTATCTAAAGAGCTTATGTAAATATTGTGCTCTCACAATATTACAAAATAATCAGTTCAGTAACGTATAAAGGCAAAACTTCGGCAATACAAAACAGAAGCATACTTTCTCAGTTTTTCAATTCTATTTATTTTACGAACAATGATAGTCATGTAGTTATATGAGTACAAAAAATGGATGTTGGATGTAGTTGTTTTTTTTAATATGAATTATTATGTACAAAATACATAGAAATTATTTATGTGTGTTGGAAACAACAAGATTTGTTATTCATTATCCAATGCATACAAACAAAATGAGACATCCATTCAGGGGGCATCCAAATCAATGTAGGAGCGTCTTGGATAACCACGTCTAAAAACAGGTAGTGGAATTTACATTGATAATAACAAGTGATTAGTTATGATATATATATATATATATATATATATATATATATATATATATATAAAATTGAATTCCTATTCTCCCATTTTATATCACGAACTGATCTTAGCTAGACCACCGCTGAAAATGTGGAAGCTTGTGGGTGTTTTGTTCTCTGAGCTAGGTGTTTTGGTTGTGGAACTTTCATCGTTCTTCTGAACAACATCAGAAGAAGAACAGTGAAAGCTCCACAACCAACCACTTGAGCTACAAATTTTCTCCACCATCTCAAAATGTGGAAGCACTGGACGATCGCCAACCCTTAGTTAATATTTTCATTAATAACGTCGAGTGCCGACTTATTAGTCCATAGATTAAGCGTTTGTGAGAGAGACCGAAAGTTTTAAGTTCTATTCCCATGTGCGGAGTCGCAGATGAGCACAGCTGAGTCCCATAATAGGTTGAACCAGTACTTTCAAGTTCTTAATAATAGTCCAGCTAAGATTAGTTCGTGATTTAAACTGTGAAAATATCAACATCTTCACCAATCCCTTATACTAAATTTATATTCGTGACAAAATAAGTTTTATAATCTTTGAATAAGTACTTCTCAATCATAAACTACGATTTATGGATTACTGTGATGATTCAATCTCATACTTTGGTTTGTGAAATATGCATCAATCTTAAATAATTAAATAACTGTGAAACTTTGATCCAGCATTCTAAATGGTAGGTTTCAAAAATGCAAAAATAGTTTTAAACTCCGTCCTACTCACTCAAAGTAGAGCAATTATGTAATACACATTTAAAACTCATAAAAGTCATGTCTCAACCATAGGAATCGATAATTGGATGTTGTAGTTCAGCAGTATTATTTGGCAATCGATTGGGAGTTACAGTGTATGAAGTTAGTGTTTAAGCTTTTTAAGAATAATAAGTTAAACCACATTCACTTCGACAAACCATGAACATTGTACTCAGTAGATGGCAATCGGCACCACAAATCTTCAGCCTTGGGGTTGTGGAGTTTCAATAAAATCATGAACTGGCCAATGAAACTCAGAAATATCCATTATCATATGCTTATTACGGATTGGGTTTATGAGGGGATTCTCGGAGTTTTAGTGAAAAAGTGTGACCAGTAGGTTTCAACCGTATCGAGTAGGCAGCAGTTACCTCCTGAAAACAATGGACGATGATTGCGCAATATCGTGGAATGATTGGAATTAGACATTGGCACCACTGGATGCCGGCTCACTGGTCAATAGGTCACGCATTCGCACGCGAGACCAGAGGTCCTTGACCCGAATCCCGTTTGCGAGGCCGTGAATGTGAACTGCTGGTGAACTAGAACGAAACGGCCGCTCAGCGGTCCCGGGTTCTAAATGGTGATTTGACATTGATCAGTTCGTGATTTCAATGAACCACAAATCTTGTTAAGTAGATGTTCAATGGTATAGTCGGCAATCATAAGTAACTTCTACACAAACTACTAGCTAACTACATAACTTGTAACGGAATGTACAGTACACCAGAAACAGGCACTGACACCGAAATCAATCGTAAACTAAACACTTTACTAACCGATTAAAGTTATTATATCCACCAGTTCTTGGACCATTATAATAATTACGTTGATTACTACCACCATATGGGATTCGAAAATTCGAATACTGTTGACGACCATATGGTCGAGGGTAGAATGGTAAATTATTGTGCATATTATCTCGTCCATAATTGCTTCCAAAATTCCCACTTTCATTACGATTACGACCATATTGTTGCCATCTTTGTGATTGAAAATTATTTGATCCTTGTGCCCAAGAATTAGAACGTTCTCGTTCACTGGTTTCATTAGCTTGATGACTTGATTCTCTAGCCGTTCCATGAGATGGTAAAGGTGACCGTGATCGCCTTCTAGGCGATCTTGGCTCAGGAGGCAATTGAGGTCGAGCAGGATCCAATAGATAGTTATTGAAAAAGTAGGCCTAAAAGTAACAGGAAAATTATCATGATTTTCTGCATATCGTTTGATAAATTGTCAAACAAAAGAATCAAGTTAGTAGTGATTAACTTGGGAAACAGAGGACTGGTTTTTTATAGGAATAAAAAAAAGAGTTAAGGGTACAACATAGCAAAACCAGAATAATGAACAAGATCCTTTCAACAATCAGAATGGAAACTGAACATCTATGTTGAACAAGGTATGATGATAAGAAACAACTACTGGCTTGTACACAGCTACACAACTGAAACCTATTTATGAAGAAATAAACATCAAATGCTATACATACATAAGCATGTTGTGTCATTAGATGTGTTATATATCAACCTAATTATATCCTAGTAAATAGGACATCTCAAATATATATTACTTTTGATGTATTAATCATAAAGTTGAAGTTCAAAATCAATTCAAACAGGTTAAATGTAGTACATTTACCAAGTACATATTTGTATACTCAGCATTGAACTAAACTGTTCGACGACTACTGGTGCTAAGGCCCAGTTGCTTAAATTGAAGTCGGTAAAACGTGATGAGAATGAGAAGACTTAATGTCGAAAGTTGAATATTTTACACAGAAAACTCAGTCATTCAGTCAGTTGCAACGTAAGAACTTCGTACGTCCGTACATCAGTTCATGTTGCCATACCGCACTAGCACAGAGACGCAAATGTCAAATCAAATCCCATAGTGATAAAGATAGTAGGGGTATTAATGGTAATGAACAAGACTAGGGTTTGAAGATATTATTCAAGAAGTATAATTCAGTGAGATAAGGTTAGAAAGACAAAGGTAGAGGTGCTGACGAATCCAGAAGATTAGGATTTAAGAGAGCTCAAAGAATGGATGCACTTGCGCCATCGCAAACAATTTTGAGCCATGTCGTTCAAGGTCTCTAACCATTGGTGACTTTCGTCTCGCCCTCAGACCTCACAGAAAACTATCGCTCTACGAAATTTACACAACAACCATTTAAAGCAGGTACATTAACTGTCTAAAAATACCATAGACAATAAAACAAGGATAGATTATATGCATTAAAAAAAAAGTATAAAACACATTGAGCAAGTTGAAATGAACAAACTTACATTATCTTTTTTGGCAGCCTCAACTTTTTCCATATGTTTATTGAGAATATGTTTCTTAACATAGATTGGATCTCGAAACTTTTTATTCGATAACGGACAGACCCATATCACATCGCTTAAATAATATTAAAGATGCAATAGATAAATAAGTACTACATTAACCAATCCACAAAACTCTACAACAACACACAATGAATGAAGAAAGTATGTCTACGGACTTGTTGTTTTACATTTATTTATCAAATATAGATTTTCGTACTTGGCTTCAAGCTATACCTCAGATGTGATAATGAGAAGACTGAGGCAGGCGAGGAAGATTGTATTATGCAAATTTACACTCTGAGTTAGTTAAAAACGAAAACATTATATTGAATACTCTATTTGCACACCATTTTTGAGTTGTGACTCCCAACGCTCCATCCTTCTTCCATTCCTGTTGTTGCTTCCTTTCCTTCCTATTGGTACTCCATTTGCTTCTTGCTTTTGCTCCATTTGCTTTCCGTTTTCCTCTTCTGACCGTGAGACTTCTTCTTTCACATCCCTTCTTATACTACTTATATCGTTCGTATAAGTAGCATACACCACAATACTATACTACCTGGTGACTCAAACCATAATAGACGGGAAAAGATTTGGTTCTGTAGCCTAGTGGCTGAAAATCGAATGTCGTAACTATGAAACTGTTGCTTCACTATCATTATTTACAGACAACTGGCAAAGTGAGTGGAACTTACTGTCATTACAGATAATAACTTTCAATTAGTTAAATGGTTTATTTAAAGATTATATAATCAGAAAATAGATTTCATCATGAACTAGCATTAGCTAGAGTAATCTCTCGGGTGTTCGAGAGAATAATCTTGCCCTTACTGCTGGCCAACTTTAACATATACATATACCCGACACCAGACTCAACAGCTGTTTGATTTTCTTGGATATTTTGTTCCAGATAACAAGGCTAATTATTGATATAACATAAAATGACCAGATTGACTGTTTAAAAAATTAATTTTTACAAAATATTTCACAGAATTCACTGAATTATACTTCTTGAATCATATCTTCGAACCCTAATCTTCTCCATTACTGCTAATACTTCTACTATCTCTACCACTATAGGATTTGAACTGACAATTGCGTCTCTATGCTGATGCGGTATGACAATCAGAACTTATGTATTCATGTGCGAATATTTACGTTGTAACTAACTGACCGACTGGGAATTGTATGTATGTATAGACTGAACATAATGATGACAACGCAATGTGGAAATAATGAAGATTGATAGTTAGGTTTTAATTCTATTTGAGAGTGAATGGTCTACAATAGGTAAATCCTGTAATCAGTTATTTATTAAATAATCACTCTAGTCATGTGTATTCTTGTTTAGGAAAGGAAATCTACTCTACAGGATTAGTGAGTTATTTTGTCTTCTCTATGTAATAGTCCTATTGGAGGCATAAACAAAATAATTAGAGGCTTCGTGAGTAGTTATTATACTTAAGCTACATTGTATCACTCTGTATAGCATGTGCCAATCGGCCAATTTTATTTCATTTTAATAGTAGAAAATCTATTTATCAAGTTTTTAAGAAAAATTTTACCTCATAATAAATGACTACTACTATTATTACTACTGCTACTACTACTAGTACTAGTACTGTGGTGCGCGCTACTTATAAGTAGTATATGACACGAATAAAAACGTAATGTCTAGCAGCAGAAGATGGGGGAAGATCAAGAAAGGAAGAGTGGGAACACAATGGGATTTGTATGAAACGCATGAACAGTGAAATGTCAGACAATGGATTGATGTTTGCAACAGGAACAGTCCAGTTCGATATGATGGATTGATATTTTGCAAATTAACGATTTACGATATGGTTTTTCTATTTTACCAATTAACTCTGTAATTTGAGATAAATACAATTCGGTTGCCCTCACCTGTGTTCTCCTTCACTACAATACCACTAATAATAATAGTAATAATAATAATAATAATACATTAAATTTTGACACATTACGTTTTTCGTTTTTTTCGACGTGTATTCAATTTTATGAATTCTTCAACAACATCATCTGCATTTCTATAACCCAATCCTTTACAATCATTTTCTGTAAGTGGAGTAATAAGGCGTACTAAACGTTTTATTTGACTGGCAAATAACTAGATTGTGTAAGAAAAATAAGATGTTTGCAAAAAAAATTTTTGAGAATTCAGTTTCCTTTTAAAAAAAAGAGATAACATACATATATAACAAAAAAGAAATCACTAGAAAGTTAGTCTTAGTAAATAAAATCAAGAATGAAAAATAATCCTATATGTGTGTTTGATCCCGCTTTGTGCTAGACAGTCATGAGCATATGAATGCCTAGCATGTACTAGGAGATAAATAGACATTATCAATATAGAGCCTGAAACGGAAGTACATTAACTCAAGCTGTCACATTAGATTAGCAAAGCAAGATGAAAGTAACAAAAAATGTAGTCGAAATGATAAAAACACTAAACTTTGAGAATATGATTTGACAGGACAGGGGGGGAAGGTATGCATGAAGAAATAGCGGAGTCTAAGATTGATAGAAAAATAATGAATGAATGCATTTGTGTTACCACAAATGATTCTGTGTTATGCAACCTAACGTCTCTAAACACTCTGATTACATTTGTCACAACGACCTGAACCGGGTAGTCAGCATCGACCTAAGTGGCTCGTATCAACACTCAACACCTTTATGGACAGATGATAGGTGTTACTTTGGCCCCACAGCTTTATTCCAGCCAGCCACTACACCAGACAACATTGCTCATTGGGGTAGGTGGTGGTTCGTGATATGCAACACACATCCTAACAATTTTAGTTCATGAAGATTTAGAATTGCATTACACTAATTCCCCTTATTTGCCAAGTACACTATTCACAATTTCAACAATCCTTACTCATCATTATAAGGTTGTGGAGATTATTGAGTTTCATAGGAATCATGAATCGATGAATGTCAGACCACAATTAGAAACCTGGAACCACTGACCAGTCGTTTCATCCTAGTGTAGAACTCATCAAGTGTGGATCTAGGACGCACACTTGCAGGAATAAAACACAATACCTTTGGTCTCCTGCGCGAAAGCCTAACCTCTAGACTGAAGATCCTGGGTTAGATTACTGTGTGCATGCGTCGTGGATGCATACGAGGATAAAATAGCCGGCCAGAGGTTCCAAGTTTCCAATTGTGACCTAACACTGATCGACTTACTCACTTGGTCGTTTCATGAAATGCGAGCAATGATTCGAAGAAATATATGACCCAAAACCTTTGGCCTACACATGTCTTCTAATTTCATAGAGCGTGTTATTAGTGAACATATGCTGTATTCTTTGATAATAGGAAGCTGATTATCAGATCTGTAAAACCAACTTATCCTATACTGACGTTAAATAACTGAAAATGACAACTTTCGCATGTGAGTCAGGTTACTTTCATTCCATCAATGTAAAGCTTCATGAAAATCTACTAAACATTATTCAGTAGTTTTTACTCAACAAGTTCAAATTGATATGACCGCTACTGTAGTTGAATGAAAAAAACAAACTAGCTTCGAGGTCAAAAAATAAATGCAAACACTATCACTGGAGACAATTGAGCTTTGTTTTGTAGTGTAGGAGTAGGTTGGAAGAAAGTTAAGGGCGGCCAGACCAAAACATGACAGCAATCCATGAAGTCATTGACAAGTGGACTAAGTCATGTCGGCAGTTGTCGACTACCTGGTTGGTGTCTGCGAGATGATAATAATCGATGGTTAGAGACCTTGAATGACATGGCTCAAAATCGTTCGCAATGGCGCCAGTGCATTTATTCTTTGTGTTCTCTCAAATCCTAATCTTCTGGGTTCTTCAACACCACTACTTTTGTCTCTCTAAACTTATCTCACTGAATCATTACTTACTTAGTTACTTACGCCTGTTACCCCCAATGAAGCATAGGCCACCCACCAGTCTTCTCCACACAACTCTGTCCTGGGCTTCGCTTTCCAGTCCTGTCCAATGTTTGTTGATTCTTTCTCTATTTCTCGGCGTAATGTGTTCCTTGGCCTTCCTCTTTTCCTTTTGCCTTGAGGGTTCCATGTGAGGGTTTGTCTTGTGACACAGTTCGGTGCTTTCCTCAATGTGTGTCCTATCCACTTCCACCGCTTCTTCTTGATTTCCTCCTCCACTGGAATCTGGTTTGTTCTCTCCCATAGTACGTTGTTGCTGATTGTGTCTGGCCAACGAATCCGAAGTATTTCGCGTAGACAACTGTGAATAACTCCACCTGTAGACCTTTCAGGGCTACTGCCGGTCCCAAGCCCGGATAAAGGGGGAGGGTTGAGCATGGGGTTGGCGACCCCATCCCACCAAAAAGCTAACCAGAAGAAATAATTCACTGAATCGTACTTCTTGAATAATATCTTCTAATCCTAACCTCTCCGATTACTTCTCATACCTTTACTACCTCTAGTACTATTGGATTTGAATTGACAATTACATCTCTGTGCTAATGTGGTATGATAACATGAACTGATGTACGTACGTACGAAGTTCTACGTAACTGACTGACTGACTGGAGACAAAACAAAATATATTGTATAGTCAGTCAGTCAGATGCAATGTAGAACTTCGTACGTAAGTACATCAGTTCATGTTGCCATACCACATCAGCACAGAGATATAATTGTCAATTCAAATCCAATAGTCGAAGAGGTAGTAAAGGTAGTAGAAGTAATCGGAAAGGTTAGGATTAGAAGATATTATTCAAGAAGTAGGATTCAGTGAGATGTTTACAAAGTCAAAACTAGAGGTGTTGAAGAAATATATTGTACAAACAGAACTGCATGATATATGACAAACTGACTACGACTAAACATACTAAACAATAAAAAAAACAATGAAATGATCATAGCCAGTTTCATTATACCACTGAGGATCGATCAGGTGACCCATCATCCATCATCCAGCTCGATCATTAGACGAGCAGTTATGGCTGCGCATATTTAAAACTACTACAAAACATACGATACAATGGTCAGCAAAGAAAAATTCGTCTAATATCTATAAATTTAACATAAAATACAATACAATACAATAAAATATTTACCTGATCAACTGATTCCGTATTGATTAATTTCTCAGAATTTTTAACTTGTATAAGAGCTTTAGTAATTTCATTTAAACTAGGTCGAATATGTATAAGACGGCATGGATGTGGCATTAAATCTTCATTCATATAGTAAGCTGGTGCATAGAAATCTACAGAATGTACAATTCTCAAGTATAAAATTAAACGATCCAATGCAATTAATAATTCATTATCATCAGATTCATAAAATTGTTGTGAAGAAGAAGAGATATCGAATTTTTGTAATTGTAATGATGAATGTAAGCTAACAAATTGTGAATTATTATTATTCATGATTGTTGTTTCGGTTGTTATTGTCGGTGGTTGTTGAAATGAAATTGACTGCATACCACCTAAAAATACATGCATATAGATAAGAAGAAAGTAAACTCATGAAATTTCTCTATATAACAAGAAAAATCAAAGTATCACAGAATAATAAATTAAAAAGATATTCGGTCAAAGTATAACCAAGTAAAATTAAAAAGTAAAAAGGCAATTTAACATGGTTTATAAATTTCTCAATGTTATTTAAAGGTACTTAGTGTTGGATGCCGAAAAAATATTCGTACATATGGACGAAAGAAAGACTCTTACTTATATATGATGATCAAGAATAATTTCCAAGTCATCGTCACATAGTTGTTCTTCCATTAGTGTTTGTTTACAACACTCCTCTATCTGAGGATCTGTGAAATATTGTTTTTGGACAACGGCATATAGTTATATTCAAACTTTAGGAAGTATTAACAAACTCTTCAAGTTAACACCTTTACATATCTGGGCAGCATCATCGACGAGAAAGGTGGATCCGATGCAGATGTAAGGGCGCGGATTGGCAAAGCAAGGTCTACATTTCTACAGTTGAAAAATATCTGGAACTCCAAACAACTTTCAACCAAAATCAGGATTTTCAATACAAATGTCAACACAGTTCTACTGTATGGAGCGGAAACCTGGAGAACTACCAAAGCCATCATCCAAAGGATACAAGTGTTTATTAACAGTTGTCTACGCAAAATACTACGGATTCGTTGGCCAGACACCATCAGCAACAACATACTGTGGGAGAGAACAAACCAGATTCCAGTGGGGGAGGAAATCAGGAAGAAGTGGTGGAAGTGGATAGGACACACACTACGAAAGGCACCTAACTGCGTCACGAGACAAGCCCTCACATGGAACCCTCAAGGCAAAAGGAAAAGAGGAAGACCAAGGAACACATTACGCCGAGAAATAGAGAAAGATATGAGAAGCATGAACAAACATTGGACAAAACTGGAGAGGGAAGCCCAGGACAGAGTTGGTTGGAGAAAACTGGTCGGCGGCCTATGCTCCATTGGGGGTAACAGGCGTAAGTAAGTAAGTAACAAGCTCTTCAGTTATCGGCAAAGACTGCTGTTTGTGGTTCCATGTGTTTTTTTAATGACAGGCTTTAAAGTAGATGTCACTCTATCCAGGCACACTTTTAATAAATAGTCGTCTACACTAGAATCTATCTGAAATACCAAAAATCTATCATAGTTAGGATATGGAAATTCTTTTGCCTTGATATTCTTTCCTCGATTATGACTTCTCTGTTGTATAAGTGTTTTGTTAATTTTTTCAATTTCACCTACATTGTTTATCACTGTTGTTGTTTTCATAATATGAAATTAGCGGAAATAAGAAAATAGTACTAAGGAATAAACAATGAACTTAAACAACTTAAATGAGCTTTATAACATTTTTGAAATCATGAATCAATGATTGTGCAGTTCATCAATGGAAACATAGAAGCGAGGTGACAGACGATCGAAAGGACGGTTGGTCGTGGAGATATGAGAGTTATTTGGAGAGGTAGAAAGGATTTGATCGTGAAAAATTTGGTCTCGTGTGCTTTAATGGGTATGAAGGTGGATGTTACTTCCCGGCTGCCCACACCTTGGAAGGGCTCTGGTTGTCAGAAGGGACATCGACCTCGTGACTTCCGAAGGAATTCGGCTTTTATCATGAAACGTCATAACTCTTCTAAATGGAGACCTAACTCCCAGAGCAGAGTTTGTAAGGTTGAAATATTTTTCTCTTGTTAGCGTTTTTTTAGCGAGTTAGTTTTTTGCGTGATGGGGTCGTCAATCCCAATCCCGACCCTCCTCCTTTATCCGGGCTTGGGACCGGCAGTAACCCTGGAGGGTCTACAGGCGTGGAAGCACTGGACGGCCGTTTCGTCCTGGTTTAGGGCCCTTTAGCAGTGCGTATCTATG